CGGAGGCTTGTCTTTCTGGGGAGACGGACACAGAAACAGCAGCTGGTTCACGCCTGCCCTGGAGGCCGCGGCGCACAGAGGAGCCGCGCTCTGTGAGTCCTTTTTCCCCAAAACGGGACCCCGGCCCACAGCCACTGTCACGCGGGAACGTCTGGCCTTTTGACTCCACAGAAGGCCAGGAGCCGAGATCTTACGAGAAACCTCCCCACGCTCGGTCCCACTGGCAGCTGTGGACACATCTGGGGCCGACTGCAGGCGGGTAAAGAACTCAGCTCTGGGCCGGTGGCTCCAGGAGCAGATGTCCTGGCTGCCGCATCTGGGGCGTGGATGGTGGCCTCTGGGGTGGCCGCCCAGAGCGGCCCTGCGGGGTGAGAGGGCCATGTGCTGTGCCACGGGCTCTGGTCCCTGGGGCTCGTGGCTGGGATTGGACCCGTCTGCCCCCTTCCGCGGTGGCGGTGGTGTGGCGGGCAGGGACAGACAGACTCCGGGCGCAGCACCGGCCGATTGCTTTACGGGTCCTGTTCCCACTGTGATGCGGGCGTTTCGGGGTCTTGATCAGCCCCCAGCACACCCCAGAGTGAGGGGGGACTGCGAGGACAGCAGGGGGGTACGGGGCAGCGCAGGCAGGTGTGGGGAGGAACCACTGAGAGCTGCCCGTGGCTTGGGTGCCGGGAGGACCCGCCGAGAGCCAGGCCCAAGCACCTCTGAGCACAGGTGGCTTCTGCGGACTTGGAGGGTGTGGCGGGGTGGGGGGTGCGGGGTGGCGCCTCAGGGCAGTGGGAGGGTGGGCTGGGGAGCCCCAAGCCAGCCGCTTGGCCAGGAAGGCCCATGAGGAAGGGGTGCAGCCACCCCAAGTGGGGTCGGGTTGGAGGGTTTTATATGGGGGCCTTGGGCTCCTTCGTGGGGGCAGGGCAGGGGTGGGGCCTGGGGCAGAGTTGGGGGGGCCCTCGGGGATGTCGGGAGGTGGGGAGCCCTGCTCTGTGGGATCTGGCCGCTGAGCGAGTCGCCCAGTGGGGAGGGGGCACACATCTGGCCGCAGCCCTGGGCAGACTTTATACGTTGCAATTAGAGCTCTTGGCCCTTCTAGTTAACCGGAGCAGGGTAGATTAGAGGGCATCTGTATGGAACCGGGACAGATCTGACTAAATCACCAGTCTGGGAGGCCAGAATGATTTTCCCCGTGAACACTCACTGTTCCCTTGTTTGACCCTCTCTGCATCTCAGAGGCGTCTGTCGATGTGGCTCTTAGAAAACGCCGTGTATTCTAAACCCGTGATGTCGGGGGCGTACGTTTCCCCACGTTAGGGGGCTCAGCGCTGGTTGTTGGAGCCTGGTTGGCTGCGGGGTTAGCTGCCCCGCCTGGCTGAGGCCGCACCCCAGGGGACGGGGAGGCTGCACCCCGGGGGCTCTGGGCGCCGCCCTGGACGCCACGGGAGCTGGGCTGCAGCTTCACAGGCTGTTTTACCTTTACAGAAAAAAAATTAACCCAATTTCAAGTTTTTGGAGACTATTTGGTTTCAGCCCCACGTCCGCCTGGGCCAGCGCTGCTCCGGCTAAGGAGGACGCGTCTCCACGAACCTGAACGGGCCTCGTAGGGCCGGAGCAAACTCTCAGCACCAAACGCGGTCTGGGGGCCGTCAGCGGCTCGTCGGGGGGACGTGGTCTGTCCTGTGCTCGATATTTCGTTTCTTATTAAAATGAGCTCGAGCTCTGCTGCCCCCGGGCGAGGTCTGGTCAAGAGGCTCCCGGACGAGTCTGTCCGACTCAGCAGATCACCCAGCGGGGGCGACTTTCGGGCCTGTCGTGGATGGGGGCCTAGTCCCCTCCCTCTGCTGTGGCCTGGGGTGGCAGCCGGTCTGTGTGGACCCTCCCACCGTGCCCTGTGAGGGCCCTGGACAAGCTCTGTGGCGGAGGGACCTGCGTCCAGCGGTGTCCCCGACACTCTGCCGCCTGGGGCCCGCTGGGCCAGGGCATCTGGGGCGTCAGGGTGCGCTTGGGGGTGACCCTGCGGGCTCTGCAGCCCCCGGGAGACGAGGAGAGATGTGGGGCCTCGCCTGACCCTGCCAGGAGGGAACGACCAGGCCGCGGGCCACGGGGGCGGAGCAGCTGCGCAGCCGGCGGGCCGTGCGTCAGGCGTCGGCGAGGAGGGGCTCATGTCCGCACTTACAGCCTGTCTTCCCCGCAGGAGCTGCCCAGCGGGGACCCCAAGGAGGGGCCTCTCCGGCAGGACCAGTGTCCCCTGGAGGGTAAGTGCCTCTTCCCCGAGCCTCCCGGACGGGCCCGTGCCAGGCACAGCCAGGAAGGGCAGGCCGTGCCCAGCCCTGCCCATCAGACGCACTTAACCCCTTGGTGCACAGTCCCCCCCGGGGTCCCCTCGGGGTCCGCACGACAGGCGCTTGGATCGGCCGAGCGGGGAGCAGAGGCCCCGTCTCGGCGGCTGAGCCCCAAGTGTGTGTTACGTTTGTGCACTGGAGTGTCCGGGAGCCCGTGTGAGGTGACCTGCAACCCCTCGGTCAGGTGTGGGTCGGAGGACGGGAGAGACGGTGGCCCGGCCTGAGCACTGCCACGCACTGCGCCGTGGTGGCGCCAGGCCTCGCCGTGGGGCGTCCCAGCCCAGGTGCAGACAAGCACCTGCCGCAGGTGCCGAGCTGGGGACGTGGCTTGGGAGGGCTGCAGGCGCTGCCTGTCCGTCATGGCCGGAGAGGCTGTGCGGGAGGCCACTGCGCCGACGCGCTCAGTGCGCGGGTGACCTGCGCAGACTGTGGAGTGGGGGCCGTGCGGAGGGAAAGGGAGGCGGAGGGCCGGGACCACCCTCCGGGGCCCCAGGGGGCTCCCTGCATGCTGCGCTCTGTGGCGTCGGCGGCGCCTAAGACCCCAGGGCCGGTGTGAGGCACTGTGGGCTGGGGGGCCGGAGGGGGCTCCCGGCCATGGCCAGCCCGGGGGTGGGGCTCCCTGCCCTCGCATGGCTTCTCGACACCCCTCGTTCCGCAAGGATGGGCTCTCGGCCCCGGCCGTCCGGGAGGGATCACGGCTCAGCGCAGGGAGGGCGGCGAAGCCCTGGGGCCGGCCACATCCTGCCGCGTGCCCTCTGCCCCTGCACCTCCCCTCTCGCCCCTGCAGTGGCACTAACCCCGGAGAAGGCCGAGGGCCGGGAGGGCCCCGCACAGCTCTTCGGTGCGGAGGATGGCGAGAGGGCGGCCGCCTGCGAGGGCCCGCGAGGACTGGGCAGGAAGCGCCTGCACATCGGCGTAGGTCTTCGCCCCTCACCCTCCCGCCAGCTCCCCTGGGTGGGCGGGCGGGCGTGTGTTGGCTCCGCAGTTCGAAGCCAGTTCGGGGCCTTAAATCGAGACCCGGACGTGCCGCCCGTCAGCCGCATGGGGGACGCGGGATCTCTCCGTGAGTTTGGCCGGAACTGGCCTGTGTGGCGCTAAATCATCTGAGGAACCTTCCCCACCTTGGCACGTGCGGCGAAGCGGGACGACACCAAAGCCGACCTTCCGGCTGCCCCGCGTCCCCGCCCCACAGAGGCAGAGCCGCGGGAGGTCCCGCTTTCCCGCCGGGCCCAGGGAGGTCTCGGGTTTATGTCGCGATTTCTGGAGCCAACAGCTCCTGGCAGTTGGCGTGGCCTTGTCTCCTGGGTGACGCTGAGCACCAGCATGAGCCGGGCGGGTGTCACGCTGGGGAAACTGAGTCACAGGCACACAGCCAGGTCCCCACCAGGAGGGAGGAGCGGGGTGAGGACAGAGTCTGCAGAGCCCAGGGCTCCGGCCTCAGCCATGTGTCCGCCCTCTCCCAGCCACAAACTGGAAACCGAGGCCATCCCTGAGCCGTGTCCGCGGGAGACCCCTTGGCAAGGCCCCCGGACGCTGCCTTCTGTGGAGTCATGGGTTACCCGGGTGATGCATGTGGCGGCTGAGGGCCCCACTGACCCCCTGAGGCCCCGCCCTGTGTGCGCCCCCAGGCCGTCCGGTGTGATGTCTCGGTGCAGGAGGACGACCGCCAGGAGTGGACGTTCACGCTCTACGACTTCGACAACAGCGGGAAGGTCACCAGAGAGGTAGCGCCGTGTGTGCGGCCGTCCGTCCGTAGGAGGGGCGGCTCAGGGCCAGGCCTCCCAGGTCTGGGGTCAGGCAGGCTCCGTGCACAGACAGACGTGGCCGTCCCCAGATGGGGACGCAGAGAGGGCAGTGTGGGCAGGACCCCCGACCCGGTCCTCACGCGGCTGGAGGGTCTGCCTGAGTGCTGCAGGGTGTTCCCAGGGCAGGACCACCCTCGGGCCACCAGAGTCACAGGCAGGACTGTCTTTGGGGGTGCGACCCCCCCGCTCAGATGTGTGTCTGTGTCCGTTTCTGAGGTCGGTGTGGGATGCGGAGTGGACGGGGCAGGGTGGCCCGGGGGTGGGGCGTCTTGGAGGGAGGGTGGGTACGGTCCCCTCTGAGGCTGCTGTGACGCCGGTGCCGCCAGGACGTGTCCAGCCTGATGCACACCATCTACGAGGTCGTCGACGCCTCCATCAACCACTCCTCGGGCGGCAGCAAGACCCTCCGCGTGAAGCTGAGCGTCAGCCCCGAGCCCTCCGGCAAGAGGAAGGACGGCCCTCCCGCCGGCCAGGGTGAGTGAGGTCTGGCCCTCGCCGAGGGGCAGATGAGCGGGCAGAGGGGGCGAGCGAGGGGCTTCACATGAGGACCCTCTTGCAGACCGGGAGCCCACGCGCTGCAGGGCGGAGGCCGAGCCCGCCGAGGACCCCCGGGTGGCCGACAGGAGGCTGTCCGCCCATGTCAGGTGAGGAGCTGGGCCCGTGG